AATGTCATCGCAGACTCTCTTTCTCAGTTTCAGTGAGACTGATTTTGGCCCTGGAGGCAGCGCAGATGGGACATCCATGTCCGAGGGAGCTGTGGGACTTAAGACATTTGAGGCAGTTGGTCAAAGGGTCTCTTTCAGAGTTTTCTTGGAGGTCCTATTTGGCGGTTTGGCCCCGCTGGTGGGGTCTTGGATTGACCAGATGTCTTTTTTCGGACTCAGGTAGGTTGGGTGCTGCGCTGGCTCTCTTGAAATCGTTATGTGCGATGGGTAAGTGTCCCGGTGGCGAATTGGCATTTGTCTGCTCTATCATTTTTGTTTTGCTGGTTCGATTGGGTGAACGTAGCTAAGGCGTTCTGTGTTTCTCTGATGATAAGAGGATGGAATTGGTGTTGTAGGCTGTATAATCGGCATCCGTTCTCCTTTAAGTTGTTGCATTAACTGCTGGAGTATTTAACACAGGTATATTTCACTTCGTACGAGGTGTGGCTATTTTGGGTGTCCTTTCCTTTTTTTTGGCACTTTGCAGATTTGGGATTAGTAGCTCCGAGGGCTACGGACAGGAGGATTTGTCGCTGATTTCCTCGGGTATGGCTCTTTTATTTGCTGGTCTCAAACAGATCAAGGAGGCTTGGGAGCATGGGTGTGTATTGGAGCCACATGTGGTGCCTTTTGTCTGGTCCTTATGGTTCATGAGTGTACCAGGATGTTATAAGGGGGTTCTGCTACATCCAGGGGGCTAGATTGGATCTGGATCAGTATACGTCTCATTATTTTTGTATCGGGGCTGCTATGCAGGCTATTTTGATGGGTCTTTCTGAGGATGCACTAAAGTGCCTGGGTGGGTGGCAATCAGGGCGTTATCATCTGTATGTTTGTCTTCATTTGTTATAATCATTTTCTTCATCTCCCCTCCCCCTCTTCTTTGTTCTGTGGTTTTTATATGTTGCTGGTTAGTCAGGCTCATGGAAGATACAGCTTACAGCCGCAGCCATGGGTTCACCTATGATTTTGTTTGGGTACGTTGGAGGGGGCTATATTAGGATCCGATGTATACAGAATGTCAACTTAGTTATTGTGTTTTAGGGCCGGTCACGCTAGTGTTGCATGCTGGCAGGAATGATATTGGCCACCGTAGTTTGGTCGATCTCATTTATGCCATGAAGCAGGATATGGCATGTTGTTTTACTTTGAAGGCTTTGAAACATTGCCTTATGTAAGGTAAACATGACTATTTCCAGATTTATTCGCTGTGTGGGTAGAAGAGTGGTGCGTCACTTTGAATTGGAAGGTGACAACTCCAATGTTATGAGGCGGATGGCATTCACCTGTCCCCTATAAGGTTGGACATATTCAATGTGGGTTTGCAATCAGGTATTGAAGCTGTGCTGTCGGTTGGGGGGGCACGATGCACGCACGACACACTAGAGCGACATCTCAGTGGCAGTATTCCTAGACAGCGTAGATGGAAAAAGAAGAAGATAAAGAGTCACTTTGGGGAGATGACAGCCTGCACTGGAGCTGATGGTTGTTTAGGCTCTTGCAAAAAAGGTTGGAGAACTGTCTGTTGGGCAACTGCTCAGCAGATGACAGGGTTATGGATGATGTTAAAGATTGGTATGTTTAATATGTTTAGCTGTGGTCGTTACCTTATACACTATAGAAGGTGTCCGGTGTATTATTTGGGGGGCAATGGTGGTAATAAGAGTTATGGACAAAAACACATAAAACATCAAGTAACAAATGGCACTTCAAAAATTTACAAAACGATTCTTATAAAATGTGCAAAATGTGCAAACAAAAAGCAGCACCTAAAGTGCAATATCCCTTATGTATACACTCCAATCAATAAAGAACAAATATAGGTGTGCTGTGTCATAAATTTAAAATGGTGTAAACACACTTACTTTCTTTAAAACCATCAAAGTGCATATGAATCAGTAAAGTGACCTTGTGCAAGCCTGCAGCTTGCTCAAAAGCAGCAGTGTTTTACAATGCAGGGATAATGGAACACAGCACTCAGACCACTTCATTACGATAAAGTGGTCTGGGTGACTATAGTGTTCCTTTAATATCTCCCAGGACAGTAATGCCAATTAAAAATATTTTAGAACAAAGAGAAGAGAACAGATATGCAGGTTGTTGCTGCTCACTGCGCTGTTCTGTTTGTATATATTTTTATATGACTACAATGAATATTTTATAGCACAATTGAAATTATGGCCAAGTATGTGTACTGTATTCTTTACATAATTAATTCCATTCAGGACCCAACTATGGCATAGTCACTGTAATGCTTAGAATGCAATTCTAGAACTCTGCAAGTTTGCATGTATTTGTTAGATGAAGTAAAAACATTTATTCCCTCCTCCCTCGTACCAATAAAAAAGCCCTGAGATCAACTGGGTTTGAACAAAAAAATTGCTCCATGAGACATTACAGAAGAGCAAGATGCACACGGAATTTAATTAAATGACAGGCTTTATGGTCAGCAGTTTATTACTGATAGAGATGGACAAAAGGTCAGTATTCCACTAATTCAAAGCACTTTTTCTATTTCAACATCAGACATCTGAATAGAAATCCTCCCAAATTTGGCAGTTATGCTGTGGAATTGTTAAAAGGACACAATAGATGCAGATAGTAACCAGCAATGTTTTAATACATTTAAAGGGCAATGCAATAAAATTATAAAAAAAAAAAAAATTAAATAAAAATTGAAAAAGTTTGCCTTCAAAAAATGTTCCCCTTTAAGAGCTGCTGTACTTCACAGACAAGTGCTGCAACTGGCCGTCCCCAGTTCTGTTCAGAAGGAAGGATCTATAGGGAGGAGGGAAAGAACCTTACTACTTCTGCATACTGCATGCTCAGTACTATTAGGGCTATTTAATAAAGTGAGAATTCAAAGTAAATTTTAAATGTTAGGCCATGGTAGCCAAACATAAAGCACAGCTCACTGATTTTTTCCAGTGCGGCTATTTTGGCTTTACATTTGAAATTTACTTTAATTTACTTGGAATTTTTACTCCAGTCTGTAAACTCATAAAAAACAAGGTTACCAACCTAATGTCGCTTTAAAATTTTTTTAAAGAAAAGTGACCACTAGGAAAACAAATATGGACTAGAGTCCCCCCTTAAAAAAAAAAAAGTGCAATAAAATAAAATCCATACCCTCTAACCAGTTCACTAAAAGGTTTAAAAATAAAGTGGATACTGGATAGTAAGGTGAAGTTGATGGTGAGAGATCAGTCAGATGGGCGGTTTTATCCCATACCCTTATTGTGACTCATATGGTAGGGTGGGCTAGTTTTTGGCTTAGTGGGGGTTGACTCAGCCCTTTATCCTTCCGAGGCAGATAAAATGAGTACCATTAAATTGGGTAATAGTAACAACCCCTGGATGTTGGCTACGGTAACATCCCCAGGATGTACTTGAAAACCAGAGTAATCTGAATGTACCTTTCCTGGTTAAATACTTTATTGTTTTTTGGAAGTGGATAATAACCAAAGCTTGTAGCAGCGATACCTGTGTGAAACTGCTCTAACCCAGTCACAGATTCTTCCCAAGTGTATTGCATCATGATAATATAACATGTTAGGCATTCCTTTTATTAGTTTAATATAAATTGACTAGGGTAACCAGGTATGATCCCACTAGACCTTTAACAATTAGATATCGACCAGAGTCATCAAATGTGTGGTGATGATACATGGTAGATCTCTACCCCCTAAGTGTTGAGCTGCGCCTGCGTGGGTGATAGTATGAATTTGAATGTAGTGTTCACTCTTTAGTAGTAGGGTGATTTCTAAAAAAACTGTAGAAAAGAAAAGGAACATATCAAGTATGGACAATGTGCTAATGAGTGGGCCACGTGGCCATGATTCTAATATCAAATGTGCACCAAGTCGTGTTTGTGAAGTTGTGTGACCTCACTGTGGCGGTGAGACCAGGGTGTCGTACATATTCAGTATTCTGAACAAAAAACAAATATATACAATAAACATATAAATATACATATAAAACATTTGCAGTTTTAAGAGTTGGCTGTAGCCCTTGCAATCCTAAATATGTGAAACTACGTGTGGCCACCCTACTTTCCCCAGGATTCAGGTTAGAAAAAAGTCATAGTGGTGAATAGTAATCGTCATGTGGGTTCTAATTAGAGTTAACGCGAAAGGAGTCATTTTCACTTAAATCTGTTGGGGAGTTCTTTCACTCCTAAAGTATTTACAATAGAATTGGGGGATGCTTCCCCCGAATACACCTCCCCTGCTGCCAATGAGGAAATCCAGAGTAGCAGAGAAGCCCCACATAATACAAGGCTGTAACATAAACCATCCTAACGACATTGGGCAATTTCTTCAATAGGATAATATGTCCCTCTCCCGGAATAAACCTTATTCCATCCCATTCCCAACCTAACCCCATGGTGGCCACAAGGACCACCTCCACAATATGTTAAGTTTGTGCAAGCAATAAAAATATATCGCCCAAATACACTGATTGCAGGCCCAAAGTTTTAGTGAAGTCTGACACTTCTTCAGCCAAGGACAGGGATAAATTAGTTCCACTATGGGCCAACAGAACAGTAAAGGGTATTTAATGTTCTGCTGTCAGAGAATAGCAGTGAGGAGATGAAGAGCCCTCCACACCTACAGAGTAGACCAGGAGAGGTAGGGCCAATGGATTCTTGGAGTGCTTGAGTACATGCTCTTTTAGGGTGTAATAGTGGACACTGCAAATTACATCCCTTGGGGATGTGTTGACAAGATCTCTAGGGCGTAGAGCCCTATGTGCTCTGTCCAACAATACAGAACTATACAGTGGCCTCTTCAGTATGTTGTTGAACAATGTCTGTAGAATGGTGAATAAATATTCACAGTCCCCTTGTGGTTATCCCCCTGATTCTGAAGTTGTCACAGTGGCCTCTGTTATCAAAGTCTTCTAGCTTGAGCATAAATAGTTTTTTTTGTCATTGGTCTAGACAGCAGAGCGTGTAGGGTCTATCTGTCCTCCTCAAGGTCCCCTACCTGATGTCCAAGATGGTGGATGTCCATCGACAATGCAGAGAGTTTGCCTTGAAATGAAGCCTCCAATTTTGCCAACATTGAGACAATGTCCTCTTTAGAAGGCAATGCCTGTACTATTTCCCTGTAGTTCAGCTCTCTGAAGTATAGAGATTGCTTGGAGAGTGCCAGGCTCCATGGTGGTGTCACGTGGAGGCACTCTGTTGTCCGCTGCAGTGGGAGTGCTTTGCCTTTATCTCTCCCTAAAATATTTATTGAGATTTTATAATTTGAGAGGGGTTCCATATTTTTAGGAGGAATATCCATGATGATTATAGACATTATTGGTGGCACGTCTCCCAGAGGTTTTGGCACTGTGAAGAAGTAGTGGACAATGAAGGAGGTTGTATACTGCAGAGACCAGCTCGCCACCTAGGAAGGGAAGATTGGAGTGCAGCATTGCTATTTTAAATGTAAAAAATATGTGTGTTTTAGGAAAAGAAAGTGTTACCTTATTTTAATACACAATACAATCCATTGTGTGCAAACCTGTTCATAAACTTCACTATACATAAGGCTGGAAGAAAGAAGATTTAGTCTAAGGCAAATGAAAGGATATTTTACCATAAGAACAATAAGGATGTGGAATTCTCCACCTGAAGAAGTGGTATCAGAGTCTCTACAGATGTTTAAACAGCAACTAGATGCATGCTTGCAACAACATGATATTCAATATAATATAATATATTATATAATGTATATTATAAAATGTAATTTTTCAACTATAGGGTAATAGCTTCGTGACCCAAGGATAAATCTGACTGCCATTCTGGCGTCAAGAACAATTTCTTTCTAGTTTGTCGCAAAATTGGAAGTGCTTAAAACTGGATTTTTTGTTTGCCTGCATTTGGATCAACAGCAAAAAAACAGATGTGAAAAAGGCTGAACTTGAAGGAGACATGTCTCTTTTTAGTTTATGTAACATTGTTGCTCTGAAATCACATAATTTTCTGCTCATACTTAAAGGGGAGAATTATCTAACAGTGGATGCATATTATGTGAACTTGGCATTCTCCCAGGGCAATAGTTGTTTGAGCAGCACCATATCTGCTCTAATTGTGTGAGTGCATTTTTTTATGTACTTTATGTGAGCTCAATCAAGAGTTAGTTCAAGTACACATATAAGTATTTATATTTTTATTCAATTTTATTGTGCAGTGGCTGAGGAATTTGAAACGCGCATTTATTCACATTTATAAAAAAAATAAAAAAAAATAAAGTGATCAAAGCCATTAAATGTGTTAAAAAGATCGTAGCATCTAGAATATGCTTAGCATATTTTTTTAAAGCAGTTGAATCACTGAGTGTATGGCTAGAGGTAAAAGGACACTGTAGGCAACATAAATGCTTCATCTCATTGAAGTGGCTATAGTGCCTGGAATACCCTGGTGTTGTCCTTCTGTTCAGCATTAAACCATTGCTGGTTGGACTAATGACAAAGCATCAGCCTGCGTAATAATGGGTAGCTGTGATTGAGCTGAAAGTGTCAGCTGACAGCATTCAGCCTATTACAACGCCCATTGCTGGTATGAATTGGTATGACTAGAAGGAACTGCTTGATCCAAGGATAAATCTGACTGCCATTCTGGGGTCAAGAAGGATTTTTTCCTAGCTTGTTGCAAAATTGGAAGTGCTTCAAACTGTTTTTTTTGCCTTCTTTTGGATCAATAGCAAAAAACAAATGTGAGGAAGGCTGAACTTGATGGACGCAAGTCTCTTTCCAGCTATGTAACTATGTAACTATGTAACCATGTAACTATGTAATCTCTGCCTCAGCCATACCTCCATTAAGGGCCAGTCTGTGAGTGAGCCAATTACCTTTATTTTGTATTTAACTGCTCTGAAATGGTTTACCTCGGATTGGAGTGACAGTGCTTTAACCAATTCATTGAAATTAAGTGGTTATAGTGCCTACAGTGTCTCTTTAATAACTTATTATAAAGACGGCAAACATGCTATAATGCACTAATATTTTAATAATATAAATCTACAATATACGAGGGCATGATCATCATTAACAGCTTCTGGTGTTTTATCATATGCAGGATTGAATTACACTAGCTGAATATGTTTTTTTTCAGTTTTAGAATGCCATTTAATTCATTGCAATGTGTATTTCATCCAGTATATTGGAAACTTTTTAGTGCAATATACATTTTATGCAACCGGATTGAGATTATTAGGCGGTTTAAGGCATATTTATTCCCTTAAAATTTCAATATTGAAACATGGTCAAGGACTGTGGGAAAATGCAGTAATTCTTGCCTAAAAATGAAATTCTGTCTAGTTAAATTATCCGTTATTCTGGTTGTGCTATAAGATTTCTATACATTTCTAAAGGATTGTATGTGTTCCTGTTCCTCGGTGTAACAAATTTCAAACAAAACTTGTGTTTAGTAGACAATAACCAAGAAATCATCACCTGTCCATCATTCATAACATTGTATTTCAATTAATTACATGAAATATAATTGCCGCAGCAATACCAATGTTTGGTTCGGCTTTTGGTGTACATGATAATTTTTTTCTACACTTGTATTTCTGTAAATCTGTTACACTTGGGTTAACACATCCATTCTCTGTTCTTGTTCGCTGAGATAACAATCAAATGGATTTATTAAGCTTTTCTTTTCTCTCTAGTTTTTGAATTTAGAATTTCTTGTTTTATTCACTTAAATTGCAAACCAGTAGAACTTACTTTCTGCAAAACGAAATAACAAAAAGGGCCCTTTTGAACTTAAACTCTAGTTGAACCGACTTAAAATCATAAACCGTCGTTCTGTCATCAGACATTTCATTTTCTTCATGCATAATTTCACTTTTTATTGAGTTTTCTCAAGGACCAGAGTAAACAAAAAGAAAATAACTTACTATCATTCCATAAAGTTGGTATTACATCAGTTGGACAATGCATATAGATTTTAATGTATAAATAAAAAAATATTGTAAGTACATAAATCAGGAATCGTAATTGTTTGTATTGTCTTAAACTGACAATGTACAATTACAAAATAGTTAATAAAAAGAAAATAGAATGTGAATTCAAATAAGAACCATTTGGCACATCTAGTCTTCCCAATTTTCTAAACATTTTCATTAGTCCTTGGCCTTTTCTTATATATATATAGATGATTGCCTCATACTTATCGGTAACTTTCTCACCGTTAAGGGCCAGGGTGTCACGCTTGTGCTATCCAGATGTTTCACAAGTGCCAGACAGTGGATTTGAACTGTGGTCCTTCTGTGCCATAGTCCTGCTATCTTGCCTCTGGGCACACATCAGTTCTTATTTCTGTATCATGTACTGGAGGCACTGGAGGCTGGATTTTACCTGGGGCTGCTCCTATCAATCTCAGCCCACCTGAAGCTGATGCCCAAATAGCCAGGTATAAGACACTGCCTCTCCCTGGGGGCAGTGTCAGTTCATTGACTCTGGTTCCTGTGTTTGTATTCGTGATCCAGTGTTCTCCAGTAGGCCCCTGACCATGGCTTATTCTTATCGTGTGTCCTGACCTCTGGCATCCTCTGACTTTGGCTTAACCTCGTCTATCCTGACATCTGGCACCCTCTGACTTTTGGCTTTTCCTCGACAATTCTCCTGCTTGTGTCCTTGTCTGTACTGCGACTTGGAGCAATATCCTGCACAGCCCCCATGCACAGACTCACAGGCCAGGTGGTACCTTGGTCTGTGTTTATTTGCAAGGGTGAGCGTATATCTCTGCATACCTGACTCCCAACTAAGGTAAGCCCTGACACAGAGCTCTTTTTATATTTCTGCAGTGTTTGTGTTTAGCTGTAGTTTTCCTATTACTCATTTACTGTACCCACGCATATTAGATACTGTTTTTTTCACCATTAAATGATCTTTCTAAAGATACCATTATTTAAATCATATCATATAATTTAATATAAAAACAATTATAAAATTAGATTTTTTTTTTTTTTTTAAACACACTTTTTCGAACTTTGACCCCCAAAACCACCAAAAAATACCCATGCTACATAGTTTCTAAATGTTGTCCTGAGTTTAGAAAATACCCAATGTTAACATGTACTTAGCTTATTTGGAAAGTTATAGGGCAATAAGTACAAGTTGCACTTTGCTATTTCTAAACCATTTTTTTTTCAAAATTAACACAAGTTACATAGTTACATAGTTACATAGCTGAAAAGAGACTTGCGTCCATCAAGTTCAGCCTTCCTCAAATTAGTTTTTTGCTGTTGATCCAAAAGAAGGCAAAAAAAACCTGTTTGAAGCACTTCCAATTTTGCAACAAGCTAGGAAAAAATTCCTTCATAACCCCAGAATGGCAGTCAGATTTATCCTTGGGTCACGAAGCTATTACCCTATAGTTGAAAAATTATACTTTATAATATACATTATATAATATATTATATTATTTTGAATATCATGTTTTTGCAAGCATAATTCTAGTTGCTGTTTAAACATCTGTAAAGACTCTGATACCACTTCTTCAGGTGGAGAATTCCACATCCTTATATATTTGTATAATGTATCATATCCCCGATGTTTTTCTAAACTGAATAGGTTTAAATTTGTTAACCTTTCTTCATAGCTGATATTTTTTATTCCTTTTATTCATTTTGTAGCCCGCCTCTGCACTTTTTCAAGTGCCATAATATCCTTCTTTAGAACAGGTGCCCAAAAGTGCACAGCATATTCAATATGTGGCCTTACCAGTGATTTATAAAGCGGCAAAATGATATTCTCATCCCGAGAATGAATGCCCTTTTTCATGCATGACAATACCTTACGGGCCTTAGACCCTGCTGATTGACATTGCACATTTTTGCATAGTTTGTTGTCTATAACAATTCCCAAGTCCTTTTTGTGTGTTGTTATCCCTAATTCGCTTCCGTTAAGGGTATTCGTTGCTTGTACATTCTTTACGCCGACGTGTTTAACTTTGCATTTTTCAACATTAAATTTCATCTGCCATTTGAGTGACCAGTTCCCCAGTCTATCTAATTCCCTCTGCAGCAAAGTAATATCTTGCTCACATTGTATTATTTTACAGAGTTTTGTGTCATCTGCAAACACCTAAACATGATTTTCAATGCTTTTTTCAAGATAATTTATAAACATTTTAAATAGAAGGGGTCCAATAACAGAACCCTGAGGGACACCACTTGTCACCTCTGTCCAGCTTGAAAATTTATCATTAATGACAACTCTTTGTACTCTATTTTTATGCCAATGTTCTACCCAAGAACAAGCATTTCATCTAGACCGATTTCCTTGAGTTTGAACACTAATCTATTGTGTGGAACTGTATCAAATGCCTTGGCAAAATCCAAATAGATCACATCCACTGCAACACCCTGATCTATACTTCTACTTACTTCTTCAT